AATGTATGTCAATGGATATTTCTTCTTGTAACAAGAAGTTTATCAGCATGAGTGTTTCATACGTCAAAGAGGAGAAGAAAAAGAAAAAAAATACTAATGTTTCTGTTTCATCCATGTAAAAACTCCCAGCTAATATAAGGTGTTAAGTAAAAATGCTGTTTTTATGTTCATAAATGAGTGGATATTTCTTTTTAGGTAAAAAATAAAACAAACCCAAAAAACAAACATTAGTAATGTAAGCAATTTAAAGAGGTGGCAAACTGAATTTTAAGGTCATACTCTGTAAATGTATTTTATTTACTCAACATTTATGTTCTGTTAATCCACTATTTAACATGTGACAAGTCTAGTATATAAACATACAGTATTTAAAAATATTAATACTTTAACACAAATATTCACTTTATATGTTATATATTAAATATAATTAATAATTAATATAATTATTTACAACAACAAAAAGCTTCATTTTTCTTTTTTTTTAAGTCTAGGTAAGTGTTTTGAAATCAGTTGCAGTAGTAGTGAATTTCTTGACCATGAACATGGCATCTGGCTACAATAATGGTTTGCATTTTTGCCTTACAAGTCAAATATCCCCAGTCTGATGCTTGGAGAAGACGCAGATCCCTCTGTGGCTGCGTCAAGAAAGGGCATCGTAAAAAAACATTCCCAGCGTAAACACGCGGAACCATCTGCTGTGGCGATCCCTTATATATCTAGTTATTTTTTCCTACTATGAAAATACTTTAATACAATTCTCAGAATGTTTAATAAGAATAAAATTCAAGGTACTGTCGCTGAATAGCCACATTTTCCTTCTTTAAAAGATCAAAAGAAATTTTGCTCGATAAATTATTGCCTTAAAATATAGGCCACTGCTTTGAAGGTATTTACCTTCAAATAATGAACGTGATAACTAATCTTAACTGTAGCTTTCAGTCTTCTTTGACAAATATTTGACTAACAGATATCACCGGTGAACTTTTCTAGGTTACTTACATAAAGAACAATTTTTTCATTGCAAGTTTTCTGAAATGCATGTTTAAATATGCAAACGAGGTAGTAAGCATCCCATCATGCGTGTCTGCACAATTCTTGGTATGAAAGAAAAAACCTTAACAAGATGCATTTTTCCTTTAATTTTATTGAACACAAAATTTCCGGCAGAATGCAAGGTCAGAATGTTCTTTTTGCCTCAGTTAGTATTCAGTATTTACAATTGCGACAGTGGGCAGACAGACAGAAGAGTGGCAGCCTACAGATTTTTTTTACCTGCAGCATAGAGCTGATGTTTACACACACACACACACACACACACACACACACACAAAGCATAAGAAAAAAAAGAATGGGGAGCTCTGGATCAAAGAGAGTGACCAGTGTTGGCAGTGGAAGCTGAAGGCTCCTGTCTGACTGAATAGGAAGAAGTTTGGGGTTAGACATTTGTGTGCAGGGGATTTATTCTATTCTCTGTGAGATAGAGAACCTTGAAAGGATGCTTTTCATCTTTTTGAAAACCTGAAAAACTCCTCGAGTAGAACTAGATGTCTTTATTCTTACTGAATCAAGTGGTGGAGTCAAAGGAAAAATCCAAGGCTGCTTCTGTGTCGTTCTTGTATTTTTGAGGCTTTGAACAAAGGCCTCTGGCTCACCTGATGTGACTTCACAAATGAATTTTAGGAGGTGTGACTGGAGTGGAAAAAGTTTTCATGTACAATACTTTCACAGGGGAAACAGTGAGGTTTGGTCATGAGACCGCACCCTTTTAAAAAAAATTACAATTCAGAGCTGTGCAAGGAAATCACGTTTCTTTTGAAGCAAAATTGCGCAAACAGGACAAAGTTACACAACACAGGGTCAATACAATTCATTAAGCCATAAATAGTTTTTACATAGCAAAAGTGATTACGTAGTAGTATCCTTCTAATATATGTTGCATGCTTGCTTTAGACAAATGTGTTTCAAATATTATAGAGAATGTGAGACCTGAGCGTCAATGTGCCTTGTACTCCAATGTCAGTGTTTTCGAAACATCTTTGTAATATGGTTTGCCCCCCAGTTCAGTTTATTACAGTTTTGACTTGTATTAGTTATGACAAGAGGTTAACTATAAAGATCTACACCACGTGTGTATTTAGGCATTTAAAATTTCCATTTATTATGACAGAAGTGATGACCAAACATAAATACTGTATACAAGACCAAATTATAATAAACCAGAATTCTCCTTCAGCAAGGACACTGCAAGCACTCATAATAACACAATGATACAGCCATTTAAGACTTATATGAGACAACAAAGCTCGGCTTAATTAACAAATCAAATGCAGTAAATGAAAAAGCAAATCAGCAGGGAAATGGAGATGTGAAATGTTTAATGCAGACACTGAAAGAAACTGATCGCATGCCAACATTTTCATATTTAAAGGCACTGTGTCTTTCCAGTTTGCTGCTGTCAGACTTCTGTACATCGGTGTTGCTAATTCTGTCGCATACTATCAGCTACATGTTTCACAAGCTATTTCAACTCTATGACAAAGGACTCAATGGCTTCACACATTCAGTGTACTAGCTTGCAGCCTAAAGTAGGAGGAACACTGTACAAAAAAAGGTCACACATAGTCTCATTACCTTTCAAATCCATAGCAGTGTGGAAAAAAATGTTTTCGGTGAACTTCTAAACATATGACGAGATCTTTCATTTCCAAGGATACGTTTAATTCCTGCTTAAAAGAGGCCAAGTTCGTTAAGATTTGCTGAAAAGGTTAGAGTGTACATTCATTTCAAGTCACTAATCCAGGTTTTTAATCACATTTTTCTTTAGAAATCCTTACGGTCTGTGACAGATTGGATATTTTTATTGGTTTAAAAAAATCTGTGAATTTAGGCGTTTTCAGACCCACTGCTGCAGATGTATAAAATCAAGCATCTTGGCCACAAAGTCTGGTTTTAGAAACATTTGTGAAAAAATGGGTCATTCTAAAGCGCTCACTCAATTTGAACGTGGTACTGTAATAGGATGCCACCGTTGCAACAAGTCAGTTTGCGAAATTTCTTCCCTTTCCCCCAATGAGCTGTAAGTGGTATTACAAAGTGGAAAGGTTTAGCAACCACAGCCACTCAGCCATGACTTGGCAGACCCTATGAAGTTATAGAGCAGAGTGGCTGAGTGCTGAGACGCATAGAGTGTAAATGCTGCCAATGCTCTGCTGACTCAATAACTGCAGAATTTAAAACCTCCTCTGGCATTAACGCAAAATCTGTGCACCGGGAGCTTTATGGTATGGGTTTCTATGCACAAGCAGCTTATGTCTTTGTACTGTACATGCTCACAAATTTCTGTAATGATCAGAGAATGGTTGATATTAGGTTTCCTAATAGAAAGAAGCAGTTACAATTATAGACTGGTTACACAAAAAGCTCAAGATGATCACTTAACCAACTCATCTACAAACTTTCGGACATTTTTAATAAAGTTTCCAGCAACTAGACTTTGTTGGTAAATGCAGTGGTAACACAAGCTCACACTGAGTGCAGCTGTGGTGCAAGTGTAAAAACAACAGCTGAGACGATTAGACGGTTAAATCACTGACAGGTAAGCGAATCTAAACAAGCTGAGCTTTTGAATCTCCCGGTGAGTGATGGAGGTTAGCCCAGTCAAGACAAATCGGTGTCAAATATTCAACAACCCTAAGCTAAAGTTCAAACAAACAAACTGAACTGAACACATCTGGCCTCTGATTCACATTTAAGCCCAAAGCTGTCATGTAAACAGCTGGTCAAGAATGCTTAAAGGAGACCTCTAGAAAGAGACTTTGAGGTGACAGCATGTGAGAGAAAAGGAGGTAAAGGTAAATTTCCTCCATTAATCTAAAAAAGTTAATGGGTTTGTGTTGTTATATACTGCTTCCAAGGTAAACTCACAAGGACTAAAACTAATGGTTTGCTGTAATCAAACAGTGAGACCAAAAATTATACACAGGAAGTTGCATTATTTTCAATGTAAGGTAGAGAGCAGACAGTGTCAAATATTAGTTGCAGATCTATCTATATAGCTTAATTTACCGAAGTACTACCCAGAAGAAATAGTGGCCATAAGTCAGATTTCCATTATTTACATCCTGTAGCATCCCATTTCATTGGTCCCATTTATTTAATATATAATCAATGATCAATCCGTCTATTACATTTGGTCACATGTTAACTTGCTTGAGCTGGTGAAGAGCGAAAACAGTATTAATAAATGACTAGTGGGTTTTAGGATACTGATGATATCGAGTATGTAACAGAAGTTTTCACCAAATTCAGACAAAAATAAGGTAGCAATTCTTCTTTGAAACAAGACTTCATCCAGCCTTGAAAGCTGGACTTTAAGAGATGTAATCACTGCAAAGAAACACATTTGTACTCTTCGGTATTCTTCACTGTCACCACTTAATTTAAACCCAACTTGTCTCCTGAAACTTAAGTTTATATACACTTAATAAGCAACATAATAGGTTGCACAAATACATTCTGTTAAAATGTATGCATGATCACCTTCTCTGTATTTTACCCCAAACGTGTTGATGCGTGTAATTCAAATAATGCACTGTTTATAGACTTGCCCTTAACTCTGAGCAAATCTATAAAATCATTTGTAAGCATGCATTAGCTACGTGTCTTGTAAAAAACCATTAGATTGCTGTATATAAATGTCATTTTTAGGACAACAGGGTTGAAACCAATTAATAGTAGTACTAGCATGATACATTTTTCACTGCTGTTTTCTTTCATTTATCATGGCTTAGGATACATCTGGACCAGAAACACACAGAGACAACAAAAAAAAAGTCTGAATATGAACCAAATGACAGCAACACATACAGAAATACAGTAAACTTGCAAAATCAGGCATGCTAATGTTCTAATCTCTAGCACTGGAAATAACACATAAAAAAAACCAAAAAAGCAAGTTAACCGCAAAATAATCAAAAAAAAAAAAAAACCAAAAAAAAAAAAAAAAGACCCATTTTTTCATAATGCATTACCATGATGATGACCATACTGCATAAAGAATAGTAGCATCGGTAATGTACATGACTTACATGTGTGTACATCATGAAGGCAGTAATCAGTGAAGTAAAGCTACAGTCCAACCATGTTTATCTACAGGAAAATGTCAATTCTTCTCCGCTGATCAATTTAATATTAAGTCAAAGAAAGAAGGTGAATTACAAGAGATCTATTTTTTTCTGTGACAAATAAACAGGTAAACTTATGTAAAGGAACTAAGGCAAGTGCATGAGGTCTTTACATATTCCTGGTCAGAAGACACTGCAGAAAGAGAAAGAGACCAATGGTTTTCTTTTTTCTAATTTTTTTTTCAGTTGCTTCTTGTTGGTTTTTCTAATGCAACGGGGTGGTGTGTGAAATTGCTTTGAGGTTTCAGTGACTGTGACCAACCCCTTTTAACCTTAAAACCCAACAACCCGAACCCTCCCAACCCTACGTGCCCTCTTCTTCTTGCTGCTCACGGGCAAGAAGATTACGCTTTACTTTCGTTGCCATTCATCTGAGGAGCCTCGTTGGGAACTGTCTTCACTTCGGCTGTGGCATTCTTCACCTCCGCCTCGCCTTTAGTGCTATCATCCTTCACAGTCTTACCACTACAGGCACAAATGTAAGAATGAGAGAGACACAGAAAGACAAAAAGAGAGGAGATTCTGTTAGCAGCAAATCACTAAGTCTCTCTTTCACAGCTAAACGGTCTGTTCTGAGCTGCCTTTTGTATCATTTTTCAAAGAAAGAAGGGAGGGGGAAATTGGGGGAAAACATGCAAGATGCTTTGAGGGAATTTGTTTTCCCTCCTGGAACTGAATGCATTTCACACATAATGGGATCAAGCTCACTATCCTAGCCAGACATCAAATAAGAGTACATGGATGTCACAGCTACTTTCAAGGAACAATGAATGCTGATGTGGAATGAGACAGGGCTGGTACAGTAGGCACAATGGATGAGGGAATGAAAGACTGAGGCATAACCTACAACACAAACTACAATTCACAAGAGGATTACATGCCATCTGGACTGAGCTGAGATACAATGGAAAGAGACTTTTGGGCCATACATCATTTAAGTTGAAAACTTTCTGGTGTTCTCGGCTCGGATTTTTCTTTTTTAAGGGCATTGCTTTTATGTCTTCTGTACCATGCTCCTACTGTGCCTTAGAAAAATAAGGCAGGGACAGTGCAATATATAAGATCTGTAAATATATCTAAACCTGACCGCCTTCTTAGATGTCATCTTATAAATTTTTGGTGTCAACTCCTTTAAATATGGTGTAATTATTCATACAAACTGTAAAGCTCCACTAGCATCCCCCAGTGGCTGAACTGCTTATTACATAACACAATTAAGTTTTTGCTGAGCAGTCACTCAGAATGTACAAAAAGGTAAACACAGCCTGTATCCTCTTGGGCTAATAAATGCTGTCAGCAGGATGTGAGATTATGAAAAAAAAATGTTTGCAGACTTGACACTTTTCTCCCCCCAGTGTTCCAAGAAGGAGAACTTTTTTAATGTAATAATATAAATGCACATTACAGGAATTTACATTTTATTTGTGTCCTGGGGGGATGACCAAAAGCTTCAGGGAAATGTTCAGTTTAAATTCATGTTACTGTTAGTTTTCAAGAGTTATGGGGATGGGAAACTGTGAATGGTGCAGATGAGGCTGTTGGATGCTTTGAGTTCTTTTGGCTCAGGTTCAACAGTCTTAAACTGCACAGGGAATCTTTCTTTTAGCTATTTTTGCAATTCAATTTTTTAACTGAATTGCAACAGTTTATAAAAATTTTTTCGGTCTGTTAGAAAAAAGTCAGCTGGACGTTGCTTTAAACCCTCTCTGGAGCTCTCTTCACTGAGTCAGTGTCCGATTGAAGTTCGGTCCTGTTTTCTGTCTCTTTTTATCCCTGGGCATCTTTTTATGATTCATTCAGTTGTTCCATTTTTGTTACCAATGAAAATATACCGACAACTCCTGGAGAACAAAAAGCATCTTTTCTTGTTTGTGTTTGTGGAATCAAGACTTATTTTCCCCCAAAGAGATTTATTATGTTGTAGAAGCCAGAACTGCATTGTGAAATCAATTTATAAAGTATTTTCCCCTTCCCGAGTTTTCATTTTCTTGCACAGTTCGCACACTTACATGCTCATCAAAAACCTAAAACCAAAACATAATATTAGACAAAGACAACCCGAGTAAGTCCAGGATATAGTATTTTAATGATGCTTTCATGTATTACCTTGTTTTATGTGAAAAATGTAATTTTGGCCCTTTGTTAAATCCTGAATTAACTTTGATTAAATAAATTTTTTGGAAAGCTGAGTTCAATTTCACTAGCTACACCCAGGAAAGATTACTGCCAGACCTGTTGGATCCAGCGTGTCTGTGTGACTGTGTCTTAAAAAAATAGGGTCAGCTAAAAAAAAATAATCTCAAAAGGCAACACCTCATGCCACAATCTAAAGAAAAACAGCTGAGAAACAAAGTCATTGACATCTATCGGTTTGGAAAGGGTTAAAAAGCCATTTCTAAGGTTTTGGGACTCCAGAGAACCACAGTGAGAGCCATTGTCCACAATGGAGACAACATAACAGAATCCCAGGACTGGCTGGACAACCAAAATAGGGTCACAAAAGAACCCAGAATAACATCTTGAAGAGTTAAGTTCAGTCTTCACGATTAAACAAATAAAAAAA